TTTGTGTATGCTCTGAATCAATGTACAGGATTAGCATACGAGCTATAAAGGCAACAAAACATAGCCGATTCCAGAAAATGTTCTTTGATTGCAATAAAGATTTTGCTGTGGTACCTTTTCTACTTAGAAACTGCAGATATAGTTGCCTCTGATAGATGGAACTAATTAAACACTCTGCAGGCAGTCACAAAAGTCTGTAAGGAAACCCAGAGACACTGAAGTGGTGAATAAGGGATTAGTTCTCTCCAGAGGAATTAATTTTGATATGCATGTCTTTTATCACTGCTAATCAACCATGATACACATTCTTTCTGCCAGACTCTCTGAGATACATGGGCAGACTTCTGCAGAGTCATGAAAAAACATGATGCACTTTACCTCCTTTTCCAAGTAGGCAGCAAAAGTGAGCAGTGAACTGCACCGCACTGGCCTGCAGGACAGGCTAGCAACTCAGTGGTTGGCTCATGACTGATTCAGTATATGAGAACAGTGAGGACTGTTGCAGGGAAAGAAGAGCAGATGTAGTAAGAGAATGTAAAAAGAATATATGTTTCCTTTTACAACAATAGAGAGCATAGCAAGCAAAAACTTGTATAGAATAAGAAAATAGAAGAATAGAGGAATGAGGCGTCAGAGAACAGGACAAATATGAAGGCTGACAAAGGCCCCTCAAAATATAGTATTTCATGCCTACATTGGGTGCTATTTCTAAGGACTGATTCACCCAAGTTTATCAAATCTGCTTGCAAAGTGCAGTAGCCACATGACAAAGATAGAAGCAAACTCAGAGCAATCACTCTACTACCAAAATGTATAGTATGCCATGGAAGATTTCTTGTGTCTTCTTGAAAGTAAGAATAGGTTGGTGCTTTCTATTTTAAGTGAGAAAACCAGCTTATGTATACCATTATTTTCTATAACCAAAAGAGACCCCACTTCATTATTTTGGTAGTTGCGTGTATCTGAACTCTGGCTAAGACGTGGACTAATTTTCACGTTCTCCCATAAGGCTCACGTAGAATTTGGGATGAAGGTTAAAGCCTGTATACCACCTTATATATTAGCTTTTATTATCTGGTAACAGTTGCATCATGAACACACTGTATAAATATTTTGGGGTAGAAGTACCAGCATCACCTTTGGTTACCGTAAATAACTGTCACTGCAATGTTAGTAACGTCTGTACAGCCTTCTGAACAACATAATCTCTCATCTGGAAAAAAAAGAGGAGGGAATATAGGCAACAAGAAGCACAGATTTTTTTCACACTACTGACAGTAACTATTCACATTTCTCAGAAATAATTGCTAAAATGGAAACTTCAATTCTCCTAACCACTTCTCTTAGATCCTTACTACTTCATCAGCTATCATGAATCTTAACAGAGTTCTGCCTGTACAAGCAAACCTTAGCAATCACGGTCCAAGTAAGTAGATTTACAGACCACAGGCACTATACCATTCGATACTTCCGAGGGCAGTTTAAAAAAAATAACCATTTCATATGAGAAAAGCAGACCACTTGTATTTTTTCTTATGCTTATATATTTAGCAGGTCTTACCTAGTATTTCTTTTGCCCAGTAGCTAATAGGGAACATAAGTGACAAGGTTTCATTTGCCCTTCTAATTAAAAATGTTAGTGTCAGCATGGACCAAACTGCTCAAAATTGGATTAAGAAAATCTGCCTGCATGAACTGAAATAAACAGTTGTATGAGGGAGCTGGAGATTTTTTCCTTAATAAGTTTGCTTCATTAGCAGAGGCATTGTGAAATTTTCCACTAAGATTATAGCCTTAGGGCATGCTCACAGTGAAAAAATCTAGAAAACATTCTACAACTATACCCCAAAAACTCAAACCAGAAGGAGAATGAGGATTTGCTTGGGGAAATTCCAAAGTGAACACCTGAATATTTCTAGCTGGCCCCAGGCCCAGTAAGTTGCACTCCCAACAATACAGGTGCCTCACAAGATTTTTTAGGAGATCTGACTGTAACTTTTTTTCAAAATGAATCTTCATTTCATAGAGAGCCCCACTAACTCCAGTGCAGCCTCACCTATCTGCAGGCAATGCTGCTCCACAGTCTGTGCAAAGCAAGGGTGAAATAGGGTCCCACATTTGCAAACATTTACTTGATGTCTTTATTATCTACCTTTACTACTGCTCCTCCAAGTAGTCAAGCTAAGTACCTCTCCGAGTATATGACAGATAGATTTGGACCTTCATAGTTTGATTTCTAATAAATATCGGTAGCATGTTAAATAACTCAACATCTTTTCAGAAAATCAAACTACTGCTTTATGTGCCTAACTTTAGGAGCTAATTCAGGCACCTATTTTTACCTTTGTTCATCAAACAGTCTGAAATTTCATCAGTTGTAAGTTCTTATACCCAAGTCATTCTGTGGCTCTTCTAAGTGGGTGTTTGGAGTCTGTTATTCTGGTGGCTGTGAGAACAGATTAAACGTTGAGATTTCCTGATGATGTATGCTATAGGGAAGTGATAAATATGCAATGTAAGTGATAAATATACAAGGCACAACATGCAATGTGCCCTTGTGGCAAAAAAGGCCAACATCATCCTGGGCTGTGTTAAAGAAAGCTTCACCAGCAGGTCAAGGGAAGTGGTGCTTCCCCTCTACTCAGATGTGGTGTCACCAGTGCTGCCATGTTGTGTCCAGTTCTGTGCCTTCCACCACAAGGGACATGGACATACTGGAGCAAGTCCAAAGAAAAGCTGGCAACATGATTAAGAGACAGGAACATCTGTCATACAAAGAGAGGTTGAGAGAGCTGGGACTGTTTAGCCTAGAGAAGAGAAAGTTCAGTGGGGTGTATAAACACCTGATGAGGTGAGTAAAGGTAATAATGCCAGACTCTCCTCAGTGGTGTCCAGTGACAGGACAAGAGGCAGTGCACACAAGCTGAAATACAGGAAAGTGTTTAACCATCAACAGAGCACCTTTCTTCCTGTGGGGGTGACTGAACACTGAAACAGAATATTCAAAGGCCCAGCTAGAAATAGTCCTAAGCAACCTGCCCAAGCTGACCCTGCTTTGAGCAGGTGGGTTGGTCTAGACCATCTCCAGAGACATCTTCCTGCCTCAGTCACCCCATGGTTCTAAACTGCTCAAAGTTTTAAACTCTTGGGACCACGGGCAGAAATTACCAGAGGAATTCCAATTCCAAAGACAGACTTTAGAACTGACCACCAGCTCTACTGTAAAGGTATTAGAAATACTGTCTATTAATCAGCTGATAAACAAAAGAAAGCATTGCTGAAATGCACCTCTAATATCAGGCTCCCAAGACATGAAAAGCAATTATAATCAGATGGCTGTTCCGATACAGATTTTTCAAACCACACTGCATAGCACCATCTTCTGGTGACCAGAAGCTGGATTTTTGTTTTTCTTTCAGGCTTTGAGAAAAAAGGGCTAACCATATCAAAGATAATTTTCATAATAGAAACAGTAATGGTAAGTTTTAAAATAAGCAATTTAAAATAACCATCTATAAAACACAGAAGTCATGAAAAAAAATTTTAACCTGTTATACCTAGAATCACACAAAGTAAATAAATAGCCTTTAAAATGTCTTACCCTCTTCATCAAGAGGACCAGGCATCAACCTTGTTCTGATTTCTGCAAGTGAAGAAAAATATGCATCGCTATAATAAGCAATGAAATCTCAAAATACATATATATCACAAAGAAATGTTCTTCAGAGCTTGTACGAGGACCCTCTATGATAAGGTGCAGTTCTGCTCGGTGCTGCAGGCAGCCGCGGACCGCACCGGCTCTCCGGGCGGTGAGGAGGCGGTGGCGGGGATCCCGGCGCGGCGAGTTGGAGCTCCGCCCTGGGGGAAGCATCTCTTGGGCACTCTCTGCCCGTTACCGCCCGGTAAACGTGGCGAGAATGGGCCGTTCTTGAAACCTGAACTGGACCAGCAGCGGAGGGGGAGACTTCCTCTCTAGTACCGCCCGAGATTGACATTCCTGGTGGTGAAGTGGTACCAGGGAGTGGCCGTGGAGAGGAGACGCTGACATCCGAAGATGGCCAGTCGTCTCCGTGCAGGCCTACAGACATCCCCGACACCGTCCTGCGGGTCTCTCCCAGGCGCTGACGCTTTCTCAGCGTGTCCTGAAGAAGGCACGTGTTGTCTCGGAGGTGACAGAAACTGAACAGAGATTCTGAAGTGCTGTCTCTAAGCATTTGGTCGACATCTGTGACATTACCTGCTCTGGGTAGTCAGCTAATCTTAAAAGCAGAGGTAGTGCCTTTTTGTTCTAGGGAAAATACTTTCCTGTAAGGTAAAGATGCAGCACTTAGTGGATTTTCATTTTAAGGATTGGGGTGGCCTAAGAAAATCTTGCTGAATACCATTTCTGGGTATGACTTAATTATTCCTTAAGAAAATAAACCGGTTAGTAGTCTCTGCAATTATGAATTCAGAGGTGAGGATCATTCATGACTTGGGGGTTAATTTTTTTCCATCCATGCCCTATATGGATATGAACAAGGGGAATAAAGACATCATACGGTTGAATGAGAGGGATTGCTTTTTCTCTATAAAAGACAGAAAATCTATTACCAAGTTTTAAGTCTATTGGTGGGTTGTAATGAGATAACCAGTATTTCCACAGATGGATATAATATAGTAAAATTATATATTTGTGTCATACTAAGTTGAGAAATATTTTCATCTTCTCTTGGAGTGAAGTTAATAATTATTATTAATACTTCCATGTGCTTACTTTTATTGTATTAATTTTGGGTTTTTAAAAAATGTGTGGTATAAATATTAAAGTAGAATAAGTACATATTGATATGCCAGTTTCTTTAATGGGTTTCTAGTCCTGGAAGCCTAGCGAGTGCGTACCTCTTTAATGCATGTTTCTCTGTTACAGTCCTTTCTAATGAATATAAGTTTGCTAGACAGAGCAGAAGACTTTTCACAATGTAGTAACGCATCTTTTCTATTCTTCTTAATTTTTCAGAATTATCATGACATCATGTCTTGCCACCCAGAAAACTTTCAGTGGGAGCACTGGAGTTTTGAAAATGTTGCTACCATACTTGCTCGCCGGTTCCCCAATAGCTTTATTTGGGTTGTAAAGTGTTCTCGAATGCACCTGCACAAATTCAGTTGTTATGACAACTTCGTGGCAAGCAACATGTTTGGAGCACCAGAGCACAGCACTGACTTTGGAGCTTTCAAGCATCTCTATGCATTGCTAGTTAATGCATTCAGACTCTCTCAGAATATTCTGCTGTCCCAGAAAAGTGTGCACGGTGTCAGCAAGGATGCAAAAATAGCTGCTGGTAAATCACAGCCGCAGCCTGTTCCTACGACAAATGGCTGCTCATCCACAGAAAAAGAGAGAGATTGTGAATGCTCTAATAATTCTGCTATGAACTTCATTATACCATCTGCTGTAGGTGCAGTGTCATTTACTTTGATTGGCTTCAGTAAAGGTTGTGTGGTTTTGAACCAGCTGCTTTATGAGCTGAAGGAGGCCAAAAAAGACAAGAATACAGATGCCTTCTTAAAAAACATCAAAGCAATTTACTGGTTGGATGGTGGTCACTCGGGAGGAAGCAATACTTGGGTTACTTACCCTGAAGTGCTGAAAGAACTTGCAGAAACAGGAATTGAAGTTCATGCTCATGTTACACCATACCAAGTGTTTGACACAATGAGGTCATGGATTGGGAGAGAGCATGAGAAATTTGTACAGATACTTGAAGAATTTGGTGTGGAAATAAATGATCAGCTGCATTTTGCTGATGACGTTCCCTCCTTAGATAACCATTTCAGAGTTCATGAAGTATTTTGAGACTGTATGTATCTCAAGTATATTAATTGTAAAAGCGCTTTTAACACTGTAAATGTCATCTAAATTTACAACTTTGAGCAGATGCTTTCTGAAGAGAATACTAAATCAGTCCTTCATTGCTAATAGATACTATATATAAATTTCAGTAGCTTAAAAAGGAGGATTGGGACTGCATACCTACAACAGGTGTTGTCATTTGATTCCTGGAAAAAATTGTTGTGAAGAACGATCCTATTCATGTTTTTTGTTAAATGTGGACATTTATTCTCAAACTGTTGACAAAATGTCTAATGTCATATACTGCCTTTAATGGGTGTTTAAAAGTACTCAAGACTTTCAAATGCCTGGATACTTCAGTTCAGTAGCTTCCAGGGCTAAATGCTTTGATCTTTGTCCGTAACAGACATAAGGATTTTTTTTTTACTTAAGGAAAATGATGATTGTTAGAACAATCTTAGTTATGTATTTTGGTGAAAACTGGTTTAGTTAGTTAATTTAATCTTCCAGTTGTGTAACATTTCTACTAATTGAAACAAAGTCACAAATATTTACCTTTGGAATATTAGTGCCAATCTATTTTTCCTCCTATGTGCACCTTGACTTTTCTGTTGCTATAAAGTTTCATTAGTTCAGGGTGTAGTATCTGCTAGTGAATAGCCATTTCACCTGGGGGCTTGAAAATTTTGTCGTAGCTATGTTAAGTGACCAAGAATAATGAGGATGGTGTAGCTTATTGCTGTTTCAGCATAGCTTGCTATTGCTTTGATTAACTTCTATAAGGACCAGCAGCAATATCTGTATTTTCAAGTCAAGAGATGTCTTTATCCCTGCCTTGGACTGGTGAGGTCAAAATGCTTCAGTTTTTAAAACTATTATCGTCTTTAAATGTATCACAGTAGTTGCTTCTACAGCCAACCAAAAATCTATTTTCAGAGCCTAATTTTTCATACTGAACCCCTGCCCTATTAAATACAAATCTGGGCAAATCAGATGATACAAAAGATGTAGTCTAGTTCAGGCCCCAAACCTGAACGTTCGTCAGAGTTACCGAAAGACAGAAAATGAGGGTATTAGTGGAACTTTTCTACTGTTGTAAGTAACTTTCCATTTATCTACAAATGAATCTTGGTATCATTCTTAAAGACAACTGCAGCGATTAACAGTGAACCAGTAGCTTAAAATGGGTTTGGATTTCCTGGAAGGATTGAAATACAAAAGGAAGTTGGCAAAAATACTGTTAAGATTACACAAACAGATGTGGCTCAGCTATGAAAAAAGGCATTTTATTTGTATTTTGATGGCTTAGCAACATCTTTCCCCTGCTTGCTTTCCATGACTCTTACACTCTGGAAGGAAAGTCCGGGGTCATCTTCTGCTGGCATCATTAAAACTTAAAAGGTTCACTGGAGACAGCATTTTCACAACTCTTGCAGAGCTGGCGCACGTGTTAGTGATCGCTGAAGAATGAGAAAAGTGTTTTGAACTCTTCAGAAAATTTTCTGAATACTCAAAATATTAAGGGTAGTAGAAAGGATTGACCAAAGAGGGAAATAATCTATTTTAGTCGATGGAGGAAAAGTACAACACACAAACCAACTCTAACATTTTATAAAAAATCTGAATTCTAGTTCCATCTACTTTTTTGGAAAGCATTTTCTTGAAGACTTTATTCAACCCTATTTATCAATTACCTTCTTAATGGATTTATAACATGTTTATATGTTCCAAGGAAGGCTATTTCCCTTTTTTGTCCTTTCGATAACACTTGCATGATATGCCACGACTTTTTTCTGTAAAGGAAATGTGGGTCACGTAGCAAAGTGATTTTAATAGAAAGCCTACAAATTGCTTGAAACATCTTTAACTATCGACTTAGAAGATAAAATTTAAACAAATAAACAAAAAACCCGAACCACACCACTGATCTTACTTTCTCAGTCTCAGACTTAACCAGGCTAACTTGTGAATGCTAAAACTTGCTCTATCCAATAACAGTGCAGATCACAGACCAATTTCTAAACAATTCTATGCCAGCCAAAACAGCAGGAGTAGGTTGTTGCAAGCTTTTGGAAACAGCTTATTAAAATATTGACATTGTCTTCAGAAGTTTCTGGATGGCTGTCCTACGAAAATATTAACCTGTTTGATGGAGGCTGCTTACAATAACTGTTAAATAAAATAGGCTTGAGTGTTGCTTTATTAATTTGAAGAATAAGCACTTTGTTGTAAAGCTAATCTTGTTGTGAGACCTCATGTTGTGGGAGGGAAAACTGACTGGTTGTTTTTCATTCTCTAAACAGTTGTAGTACTCTGTTGGAATGTGCCTCTGTCATTCACTACAGTGCATGCTAAAAATAAATTTTGCAAACAATGTAGAAAATAAACTATTTCTAATGGGTGAAACCTCTTTGGTGTCAGTGTAAAACCATTAAACAAGGAATGTGCAGTTAAGTTTTGTGGATTAAGCTTTATCAGGTTTAAAAAAGATTTGATAGCTTTTCTTGAAGGAGTCTTTGTGTTTGTGTAGTCAGCAACTACAATTGTAAAACAGCTTACTAGCATCTCGCACACATAGGAAAGCTGGCATGAAGTAACCAAGGGTGTGAACATTTCTCTGTTAGGATGAAATGGGTCATAGCTGTATATGCCTGGTTTTCAGTGTTAACTGTAAAGGCAGTTTTTAATAAGCTTAGATGCAAATTCCTAAAGTTAAGTGATTCTCATGCTTATAGTGGTTTAGTTCAGGACAGTTCCATTTTTGAATGGAGTGAGCAACATTACACAGTACAACCTAATATGTAATAGCTGATACTCTTTATGTTACATGCTTGTGTCTTGTATAAAAGACAAGACATTCTTCAGATTTTAAGAAATGCTGAAATGTTTTAATCTCTGCCTGTTAAATCCCTTTAAAAGAAGGCTCAGTTCTGTGAAATTGTCCAGGTTCTGTATGACTTAAATGATTTTGTGTGCATTTTGAATACTAGAAACATTGGTAACCTGCTTCCTATCAGGGACTAATTTAATCACATCTCTGTAAATGCTGCTGCATTAATCAGTATTGGCCCCTAATTCTGAAAGATGATTAAGGGTCCAGGTTTTAACATATTGCTGAAAGGAGCAATCTTTTCTGTCCTCCCATTGATAACATCCTACTTCCTCCCTATGTTAGCACAAGGACTTTATGGTGAGCTGTTCTGTCTTGATTAACATTATTGCTGATAGAGATAACTGACAGGAGTGCTCTGTATTTAAATAGTCATAGAAATTATTTTGAGTAAGACTGCTAAGTCAGTTCAGGAGTTCAGATGTTACAACTGGATTCATAGATATGTGTATTCATAGATAAAAGTGATTTGTGCATGATCATGCGCTCAGGTTTTCCCAGCAGGTTCTTTTTGAGCTGTTTGCAGAAAGAAAACATCACCTGTGTTTTTTTCCCTCTTACAGTGCTTACAAGGCTGTCTTTCCTAAGCTAACAATAACTTCTCTGCAGATGAACAATATTGGTGGTCTCGTACAGACTGAAAGTTGAAGCACTGAGGGTAAAGTATACTCATCCATTTACCTTGAATGCTTATTTAAAATTACATGGGGTCTTATCAGTTAAAATAAGAGAGAATTTAAAGAACAGTAAAAATTTTGGAATGTGTGTGCTCTGCTGTGAGCCACATTTTTTGGTACATCACTGCCTAGTGGAATCCACAACCTGAACTGTGTGTCCAGTGTCTCTGTGCAGTACAAAAGCAAAGGCAGATGTCTCAGACTGCAATCAACAACAGAGAGCCTTTTCAAATCACCTTTGGAGTTACTTCTTCACAATCTTTTTAATCTTATATTGGAATCTCATTTAATTTTTGTAAGGATGGTAGATTAAAGAATAAAAAAAATCTACTTCTGATGCTCATAACCTGATGAAAATTTAGATACATTTAAATATTGCAGATGGAGACCCTGACTGGCTTTGTGTTGGTCTTACTGATCTCTTAAGTCTGTTCTGATACAAGGTGACTGTTTTTAATTCAAATATAATAACATGAAGTCATTAAGCCAGTAATGCAAGATCATGTAACACCTGTGTGGCAGACGGACACTGCTTCTCCCAGTGCCAGACACACTGTTCCTGACTAAATTAATTCCATCAGTATTAACAGCATAATTCACTCCTCCCACTGACAAAAACCTCTTGCACAGGATTAGCTGTTCCACATCACTGTGGAAGCCATGGAAAACTGATTCAGGCAGTCATTTTGTGTGTAGTGTAGTGCAGGTTATGAAGTAGTGATGGCTTTGTCCTCATTTCCTGTCATTAGGGCTTCATTACATGTTCCCAAGTGACCCAAAATTCCACTTAAGCAAATGACCAGAAAAGCATCTGGCAGAACAAAAGGGGAAAATGAATTCTTACCTGTTTTTTCTTCATGTATAGAAACATCTCATGTACTTGAAAAGGAGCAGAATGCCATTACTTCAAGGTTCAGAATAAATTTTCCTTCTTTTAGTAAGCTTTCAGAGAGCACTTTCAGTCACGATTGTTAGTTTCCTTTGTTAAACTTGGCACTTCAGAGCTGAGTTGTTTCTAAAGAAAGCACTGCTGCAAGACACAGAAAACAGGGGACGTACCAGTGCTGAAGTGCAAAACAAGGCTCTTCACATTTCCCACACCATATAAGCCTGGGTGTTAGATAAAGCTATTGCATCCCTTACAGGCTTTCTGCATAGCTCTTCTTTCCCATGCCCCGTCATGAGAAATACATTGATTTTGTGTGATGAAAGTTTTAAGCAATTCATATACTGCTTGACAGCTAAAGTATAAATGTTTTCACAGTGAAAACTGTCCGTTACTGTGATCTGTTTTATTATTGCAAGCGATAGCTTCTGAGCATTTTTGTACGAACAGAGCATCGCGCATGGAGCTGCGCGTTTTACATGGTTGAGCAGTTCTTTTAATGTTTTCAATCTGCTCTTAAAAATGTTGACTAGGAACAGATCTGAACAATTGGAAAGGAATTAATCTGCTCTTGTTGCTCTCAGGAATTGCCACTTAAAAGAGATCCTTGCTCTCGGGAATTACTACATACAGAGCTCAGAGTCTATCCCCACTGCTAGCGTCGGACCCAAACCAAAATAGGAGATTTTAACATGGTACTTTATCACAGACTTTGATAACTGTCCCTAAACCCCCCTGAATTTCATCTATCCTAGTAACACCAGAATCTTTGGTTATTGAGTGATGCTAACTTATATAGAGAATCCCTTGTAAAAGTTACTGTTTCAGAATATGTATCTTCAACACCTGAATTGTCTGCATGGAAACATCTAAATGTCTCAGGTTTAGGAAGATACATTTTGGCTAGAGGAGAAAGAAACAAGTACAGGATTTATTTTTGAAACTGTGAAATAATGCATACTGGGATCACACCACATGTAATATAACCTCTACTGTGGAAAAATCATCCTGACATTAGTCAAGTTAGTAGTCGTGTTGTGAGACCAACAGTGTGTATGAGGCAAACAGTTTAATACTGCATATTTGAAAAGGATTGCAAATATATTTCTGATCCTTCACGATCAAGACAAACCCTTTCACATTACGCATTTAACAGGTCACTCATATTAAGAACCTAGATCCTGTGTAGCTCCTAGAGAGAAACATGTTCTTAAGTAAGATACATCAAATCTTCAGCACATACGTGACAGGCAGATATTTAATGACATGTTTAAAGAGAATATTTTGACATCAATTTTTAAAATTGATTCTTTCTACAGCAACCACATTAAGAAAGATAAAACATGCATCTTCTGAAATTAGTCATCCTTTATATTTCATACGATGAAGAATAAATAATTCTTTCCAGGTGCTGATTTGCAATGAACTTACATTTTAAAAGCCTCAGTCACCAAATTTTGAGAGTAATTCAAAGTTTGGGGTAGGCCATGTTTAAACTGGTGATTTCAGATACTGTCTGTATTTAAGTATCATAATTCATCTTTCAGTCCTGGGCAGTCTGCATCACCTAACTCCTCTGTTGCATACACTGTTTGAAGTGGCTGGTTTGAATGCTTAGGATGGTCAGTGTTTATTTTTCTAATACCTGTTACCACAACTTCATCTGTTTTGTTGTGGCATGATCCCATTTTGCTTTAGGTCTCTAAAGGACAAACTTTCACAAAATGTCAGTGACTCTAATTCATTGTGTTATTTCAGCAGTGGTTTTTTTAAGTGTGGCTACATGTATTCTCTCAGTATGTTAGCTGGAAGTTATTTCTTTAATGCATGCGTTCATCACTTTATTGCCAGTTTCACACCATGTAGCACAGTGGTTAGAAAGCACCAAGTAATTTTTTTTTTTTTTCAAACAAAGTACCTTCAAGATTTTTATCACTAGTTACATCATGCTCAAATTAAGAAAATACATCTTTAAACTGCTTGGTTTCTTCTATAACATTTCAGAACAAATGATTTCTAGAAGTTACTAAATAAGAAATTGAAGAAACTGGTTCGAAATGAAAAAAGGGTGGCACTGACAGAACAATTACTGTGCTGGTCTACAAAGAATAGTTTTTATTGATCCTTCCTGAGTATGCACTTACATCACATGTGCTGGGGTTTACTGACAGTCAGAGAAGTGAAAACCAAAGGCGTCATGGGAAGGGAAAGAAACACCCCACTATCTCTGCTGAGATTTTTCAAAGAATGCTGGAAGAGAAGCAGGAGCAGGGCTGGGTTATCCACCAGCTGATCAGGGTGAGATAACCTCATTTGCTGACGTATAAAAAGATAGGCTTCATTTTAAAGTTGGTAGTGTGAAGAAGAAATAGCTGTGCTTGCTATAGCACTTGACTCTCATTTAATTCAGCATGACCCTCTTTTCCCAGCCAGATACACACTTTCCAATCCAAACTTCACACTAGCCTAAACAAGTGACTTACTGTAGCTTTCCTGCTGGGCTGCCTCAGTGCTAATAACTGCAACTGAGGGATGCAAGGGTTTCATTTGGCCTAAGGTGTTTAGATGAACAGTTTAATTGCCTCCCTTACAAAATAAAGAGGGAGACTGAAAAATACTCAAAATGGTGTTCTGAATACTTTTGGCTTGACAGATCTTAGTCATGTTTTTTACCTATGTACTAGGAAACAAGTATTATTGAAAATCTTAATTTCACCATTAGATGGCACAGCAGTGTGAATGCATTTGACCCAGAGGATTTTACTCCTTTTACTTTCTCCTCTCCCCAAGAGCCCCAAATGGCTCCCACCCTCCCTCCGGAGCACTGCAGGCTCTTCTCACAAGCTGAGACAGAAGCAGATCGCTCATACACCGATTGCTGCTCCATGAAGCTTTCCTTATTTATACTTGAGTGTTGAGGGGGCCTGAGAACACCAAGCTAGCACCTCTCTTTTG